TTCCTTAAAAATTAGAATAGAGCAATTGGAAGCTAGTGACTTTATGAGAAATCAAGAGACAGTAGAACAAATCCAAAAGAATGAAAAATTAGAAAACAATGTGAAATATCTCATTGGAAAAACAACTGACCTGGAAAATAGATCCAGGAGACAGAATTTGAAAACTATTGGACTATCTGAAAGCCATGATCAAAAAAAGAGCCTAGACATCATCTTTCAAGAAATTATCAAGGAAAACTGCCCTGATTTTTAGAACCAGAGGGCAAAATAGAAATTGAAAGAATCCACCAATCTCCCCTGAAAGAGATCCCCAAAGGAAAACTCCTAGGAATATTGTAGCCAAATTCCAGAGTTCCCAGGTCAAGGAGAAAATATTACAAGCAGCCAGAAAGAAACAATTCAAGTATGTGGAAACACAATCAGGATAACACAAGATTTAGCAGCTTCTACATTAAGGAGAGGGCATGGAATATGATATTCCAGAGGGCAAAGGAGCTAGGATTACAACCAAGAATCACCTACCCAGCAAAACTGAGTATAATCCTTCAGGGGAAAAAATGGTCATTCAGTGAAATAGAGGACTTTCAAGCATTCTTGATGAAAAGACCAGAGCTGAATAGAAAATTTGACTTTCAAATACAAGACTCAAGTGGAACATGAAGAGGTAAACAGGAAAGAGAAATCATAAGAGACTTATTAAGGCTGAACTGTTTACATTCCTGCATGGAAAGATGATATTTATAACTCATGAGACCTTTGTCAGTATTAGGGTAGTAGGAGGGGAAAAATTATATGTATGTATGTATGGATAGATACATAGATAGATAGATAGATAGATAGATAGATAGATAGATAGAGGGCACAGGGTGAGTTGAAGATGAAGGGGTGATATCTGGAGAATAAAATTAAGGGTGAGAGAGATTATACTAGGAGAAAAGAAAGGGAGAGGTAGAATGGGGTAAATTATCTCACAAAAAAAAACAGAAAAGAAAGTCTCTACAGTGGAGGGGAAACAGGGGAAGGTGAGAGGGAATGAGTGAATCTTATTCTCATAGGATTTGGCTTAAGGAGGGAATAACATACACATTCAATTGGGTATGGAAATCTGTCTTACCCTACAGGAAAATAGGGGGAGAAGGGGACAAGAGAACAGGGGGATGATAGAGAGGAGGGCAGATTTGGAAAGAGGGTAATCAGAAGTAAATACTTCTGAGGAGGAAGGGTCAAAAGAAAGAATAGAATAATGGGGGCAGGATAGGATTAAGGGAAATAGAGTTAGTTCTTCACAACATGTCTACTAGGAAAGTGTTTTGCATAACTGCACATGTATGGCCTGTACTGAATTGCTTGCCTTTTCAATGAGGGTGGGTGGGGTGGGAGGAAGGGAGAAAGTTTGGAACCTTTTTAGAAAACACATGTTTGAAAAAAAAAATGTTTCCACAGGCAGCCAGGAAATAAGAAATACAGGAAATGAGGTACAGAAGTCTATCCTGCCATGCAGGAAAGTGGAAGGGGAACTGGATAAGAGAAGGGGGTGGGGGGAGATAGAAGGGAGGGCAGACTAGGGGAAGGGGTATTCAGAATGCACACCATCTTGGGGTAGGGGGAGGGGCAAGATGGGGTGAAATTTTGGAAATCAAAATCTTGTGGAAGTAAATGTTGAAAACTAAAAGTGAATAAATTTATATGAAAAAATAAAAATAAGTTTAAAAAATAAATTTCTATTTTACCTTCTGGTTCTAGAATATTAGGGCAGTTACCTTGATAGTTTCTTGAAAGATTATGTCTAGGCTCTTTTTTTATCATGGTTTTCAGGTAGTCCAATAGTTTTTTAAATTATCTCTCCTGGATCTATTTTCCAGGTCAGTTGTCTTTTCCAATGAGATATTACATATTCTCTTGTATTTTTTTTCAGTCTTTTGATTTTGTTTTACAATGTCTTGATTTCTCATAAACTCACTAGCTTCCATTTGCTGCATTCTAATTTTTAAGAAAAGTATTTTCTTTTGTGAGCTTTTGGACTTCCTTTTCCATTTGGCCAATTTTGCTTTTTAAGGCATTCTCCTCATTGGTTTTTTGGACCTCTTTTGCCATGTGGGTTAGTCTGTTTTCAAGGCATTACTTTCTTCAGTATTTTTGGGGTCTCTTTTAGCAAGCTGTTGACTCATTTGTCATGATTTTCTTGCACCACTGTCATTTTTCTGACCAATTTTTCCTCTACATCTCTTACTTGCTTTTCAAAATCCTTTTTGATCTCTTCCATAGCCTCAGACCAATTCATATTTTTCTTGGAGGTTTTGGATGTAGGACTCTTGACTTTGTTGTCTTCTTCTGGTTGTATGTTTTGATCTTCTTTGTCACTAAAGTAAGATTCTATAGTTTTTTTCCACTGTTTGTTCATGTTCCCTGCCAATTACTTGACTTTTAAACTCTTTGTTAAGGTAGGGCTCTGCTTCCAGTGTGGAGGGTGTACTGTTCCAAGCTTCAGGGATTTTGTGCAACTGTTTTCAGAGATACTTCTAGGGACCTGTAAATTTTCAGTTCTTCCAAGGTGATATGGTCAAAGGAGAGGTGTTTAGTCCTTTCTTGGCTATGCTCTGGTCTATGAGTGACCACAAGCACTCTTTTCTGCCTCAGAACGGTAAGAAGGATTCTCTCTTCACTGCCAACACAAGATTCACCTTGCCAGTGCTCCTCCTTGCCCTAGGAAAGCCACCCAGGATTGTGACCCAGATCCAAGCATGGGCAAAGCAAGAGAATCCTTCCTCAGCTCCAGCAAAGAGATCCTTCCAATCTCTCTCTGATCAGCTGCTCAATTCCCATATTGCCTGTGGGCCAAGAGTTCCAGAAGCAACCACTGCAACTGTGACCCTGAGGTTTCGCTAGGGCCAGTGCTGGACCACACTCCTCTCCCATGTAGGTCCGACAGACCTTTCCCAGTTCTTCTAAGTTGTGTTTCACATTTGTGGGTTTAGAAGTCTGGAAACTGCCACAGCTGCTGGTGATTCAGTCCCCTGAGGCCTGCTCTGGGTTTGCTCTAGCCTTGTCTTTGCCTGTGTGGCCCATGCTGAACTGTGCTCCTCTCCCAGACCTGCACAACAGATCTTTCCTATCAATCATCCAGGTTGTCTTGGGCTGGAAATTTGTTTCATTTTGTCTTTTTTGTGGGTTCTGCTGCTCTAGAATTTGTTTAGAGTCATTTGTGACAGGTATTTGGAGGGATTGGGGGAGAAATCAAGCAAGTCCCTGCTTTTACACCACCATCTTGGCTCCATCCCCAGTAGGTGCTAGTATTGTTTCCATTAAACAAATGAGGAAACTGAGGAAAAGAGAGATTACATGACATACCAAGGGTCAGACAGCTACTAAGTATCTGAGGTGGGATTTGAACTCAAATCTTCATGACTCTAGGCACTGCATTCTATCTACTGCACCACTTAGCTGACCAATACAACCTCTTCATGACTGATTTGCTCCCAGTACTCATTTCACATTTGGATCAAAATGACTTCCTCATGATAGACCTGAAGCATCCTGAAGACACAGCAGTACACTCTCATTCTGCCATGTTGGTCTAACACCTCATGCACACTAAATATTCAGTGATAGGAAGAGTCACTTCTGACCCTTCCCTGTCCCTTGTCCAACACATATTACTTACAAGGTCTACTTCATTCCATCAGGTATTTATCTTCTATTTAAACTATTATAGCCTTCAAAACACTTGTCTTGCTGTCTATCCTTTCTGCAATCTACTTTCAATACCACATTCTGTAGGGTCATCATGATGGACCACCATGATGATGTCGCAATACTTCTCAAAAACCTTCAGTGGCTCCTCATTGCCTGCTGACTAAAGTTCAAACTCCTGATCCTGGCATTCAAGGTCTTCCACAAAAAAGCCCCAACCTATTGATCTAACCATATGTCACTTTCCTTCCCTTCATGGATTCATGGTCTAGAATTCAGAGGTGGGGAGTTTGCAGCCTCAAAGCCACATGTAGTCCACTAGGCCCTTAGACTGAATCTAAACTTCATAGAAGAAATCCCCTTAATAAAAGGATTTCTTCTGTGAAGTTTGGATTTAGCCTAGATAAGCTAGACTACCTCCCTTCGATTATCATCCTGTAGGATCCCATTTCAATTGCTCTGCTCATAACATTTCCCATGCATTCAATAGCCACCTTCAGTTTCCACACATCTCTATTTTATGATATCCTTTATGAATCTGAAGACTTGCCTCTTCCATGACACTTGCCATGATTCTCTCAACCCAGTGTCTTTTCTATCCCTAATTTCTTTTTAACAATTTTTATGTCTTTGCTTCACCCCTATCACATGTGGCTTGTTCATTTCTGTGCATCTCATATTCATCAAACCCACAACAGACACATGTAGTGCATTTCAGTCCAGAACACTGATGTGCACATAGTAGGCACCTACAAAAGACCTGTCTGTTGGGGGGAAAAAAAGAAATATGATGATCTCTCTGCCCAAATTGTTCATGAATTCTAAGTAGAGATCATTTTCTTATTGCCCCAGAAATATAATATCCATGGCCTGAGGGGGGCAATCTTGCTATTGTCTGACATACCTTCAGCTGAGTGTTCAGGCTGAGCATCTATGAATGTGATTTACATATAGTGTGTGAAATGAAAGATCAGGCTGATTGGCTAAGCAGTCAGGCTGAAAACCCTTACCCTATTTCACAGGGTAGAAGAAAACAAGACACATTTAGAATGGACAAAGTCTCCTTTGACTAAAGAACCCATTTCCTACAATCCAGAACTAGCTGTTCACTGGCCCTCATGTTAGAAGATGGAGGCGCACCATGGAGCCTCACTAGTGATCCTGTGTCTTTACCTGGCTGTAAGTTGAGGGGGTTTCTGTAGGCAGGAACAAGAAAGGTCAGAAGCCATTCTTCAAAGGATTTAGAGACAGTCGGGGACTGATAAAATAGGGCTCCTTGACTGTGTTGTGGAAGTGATAGATATAAAATAATGAGAGATCCTGACCTGGTGACCAATGACCTATGTCTGACATTGTCTTTCTGCCAAGGGGTGAGCTGCCTACAGAAGGTGGAGCAGAGCCCTCAGTCCCTGAAGATCCAGGTGGGAGAGAGCACCACAATCAACTGTAGCTATACAGACACTACCAACAATGGGCTGAGGTGGCTCAGGCAGGATCCTGGGAAAGGCCTTGCCTCCCTGTTTTACCTAACTTCAGAGGAGAAGCAGAATGGAAGGTTAGGATCCACAATCAGCAGGAAGGACCGTCAGAGCTCCCTGCACATCACTGGTGCCCAGCCTGAAGACTCAGCCACCTACCTCTGTGCTGTGGAGGCACAGTGATCCCCAGGCACTTGCAGGCTGTGCACAAACCCTAGAGCTGAGACACAGACCATTCCAGAGAGCACATTGTAACACCCTAAAAGTATACCCACTGCTTATTTTCCTTTTTCTCATTTAAAGCCCATTTGATTCTGGGATCAGTCAGTTATCTAATGCCCTCTGCTTTGGCTGTGTACTCATTGGTAATGCAATGTTGTGGACAGAACCAGATCAACTTTAGTGGTAGCCAGTGACCTAGAAGAGGTCACACTCCTTACTTACTCAGTCTAGACTCAGAAAATAAATTAGGAGTCAGCAATGTGGAGAGTGATATAACATGGCATTAGACTGCTAATTCTAACTTCATGGAGACATTTCTTTTTATAGTGCTCCACTGTTTTTCCAATGTGAAATTTTGCTCCTTATTCCATGGGCTACAGCTGGCCCCCAAGTCTGTATCAGTCTATATGTGTCCAAAATTACCAAAAGCAGGAAATATCTCTCATGTTTGTCCTCTGAACCCCTATTACATACTTAGACTCTTCCTTCCAATTCATGATCCTTCAGTCAGCCAATTTGACAGTTAACCAATTTTGTTAATGATCTTTTGATTTATTATGACATTTGGGTAAATAAAATAGCCCAGCCACATTTATACAACGATGTAAAAAGCTTTCAAATAGCAATCTGCAAGATCTGGTGCAACTTGAATGGACACCCCTTTCCCTTCAATGCCTTCCTACCTTGTAGAAGGAGGGAAAGGAATAGATTTGGCAGGTTGTAGGAGTCACTAGAATTTCCTCATCAAGTGCCTTGAGAGAATGGAGGGAGGGGGAAGCTCTAGAGTTGCCTCCACTTGTTCTCACTGTGGCTATTTTTAGAGTTTGCTCATCCTGATAGGCTCAAACCCTCTCCATGATGATCTCTATCCACTCCACCAATTCCCATCTCCTCAAGGTCCACAACATTTCTGGAATCCACCGATGGCCTATAGCACTTCATGGATCTCTGATCCCACTACATTCCACCCACTTATGGCCATCCTCACCCCAACCATTGAGAAGGAAAATCCAAAATGAACTTTGGACAGTGAAACAAACACAGTCACTCTATGAGGGAGCACAAAATAGCCTCTATGACATGCAGCATGGGTGCTGGTATACACTTTCTAGTGCTACTGAAGCTACATCTGTCCACAGGTGTATGGCTCATTTCCATGCATTCTGCAGTCACCAAGGAAAGAACTTGCCAATTAATTGATCAATTAATTAATTATTAGACAATTAGGGGTTGAGGTATATACTTTGGCCACTAGGGGGTGCTCTGACTACATATAAATAAACTATTTGGGGGAGACGGTGAGCCTATACTGACTAGAGATCTGTAGAATTATGATCTGAACTTTGTGTAGAAAATAAATCATAGAAAAGACTCATCTCTCTTATAATAGCCATATTCTGGATTTAGAGAAGGGATCTCTCTGATTCTCAAAGCAATTGTTTCATTAAGAATATTCAATTTGGTTTTTTTAATCATCATATGATTTATTTTAAATAGTATGGTAACCATAAAATGCTAGCAGAGCAAAAGAACAAAAATGTGATCTAAATAGAAAAGGTCTTTCAATAGTAAGTTGAAATTATTTCACTTAATGAAGTCTCTTCTCCAGCAGTTGGTACTTAGAGGTGGAGGAGAAAGAATAAGTTAAGGACCATAGGACCATAGAATGTTAGACATTTTTTAGATCCTACTGAGATGAATTGGGCAAACAGTCAGAGGAAACAGACAGAAGCATGAGGATTTGGCATCATCTTTCATTGGTTCTCCCTATCTCTGGGATAACAACTGCTTATCTGGACTTGTCCTCTTTAGGGCTCCGACAAATGCCACAATCCTCCTAAAGTGAATTATTCTCCCAATGGAAGTAGCAAAGATAGCCCTTCTGCACTTGAGGCTACTTCCTCCTTTACAGCCAATTAAATTCAGCCAGAGTCCAGTGTGGCCAGGAACAGAAACTTTGTTCCTGAGTTCCCAGGTTTCCTTTTCATGCAAGAAGCCACAATGACTTCTTCAAGACAGAAAAGAAGCACCTCAAAGTCATGAATTTGTTGCCTCTAAGGCTCCCACCCAGGTCTAGGGCCCAGATCATGCTGTGAGTTTTTGTTTAGTCATTTCAGTTGTGCCTGGCTCTTCATGAGCCCATTTTGGGAATTTTCTTGGAAAAGATACTGTAGTAATTTGTCACTTCCTTCTCCAGTTTTTTTTTGGTGTTTTGCTTTTTTTACAGATGAGGAACATGCTGTGAGACCTCAATACAAATGAAGAAATCGACAGCCTCTCAACTTTACTTCTGCAATATCCCTCACATATGCCCCATCATTCCTTCGACACTGTCACCACTCTGGTGCAGGCCCTGGACTACTTCAATAGCCTGCTGGAGGTTCAGCTTGCCACAAGTCTCTCCCCACTCCATTGTCCTACTCAGCTATGAAAGTCATCCTCCTAAAACACAGGTCTGACCACGTCATTCCCCTTACACAGTCAATTCTTGTGGCCCATCATCACCAGGATTGAAACTGCTCTCTGGCTTTCAAAGAACATCATAATGTGTTCCCCAAAAATTTTCCAGTCTTCATATACCTAACCACCCCACTCCCAATTATCTTTTGGGTATTTCAGTGACACTGGTCACCTTGCTGCACCTTTTACAAAAGACTCCATCTCATGAATCTTGGGATTTTTCCGGCATTTCCACTTCCTCTTGAATGCCCTCTCACCCATCCCTGCCTCCTGGCTTGCATAGCTTTCTTTAAGTCCCAGCTAAAATCCTACATTCTGTGAGAAGCCTTTCTTATTCTTCCTTAATTCTACTGACTTCAATCTGTTGATTATTTCAAATTGAATATGTGTATGTATATTTGACCATATGTAGTTGCTTGCATATGGTCTCCCCTATTAGGCAGTGACTCCCTTCATGAGCTGAGACTTCCATTTGCCTTTCTTTGCATTCTCAGCTCTTAGTATGGTGCCTGGCACATAGTAGGTGCTTAACAAGTGTTTATTGACTAAGAGAAAGAGCCTTGGGTTTGGAGTCACAGAGTATGGTATAAAATTCCATGTCTGAGATGTTATTATTGTCTCCAATGTTGATCATACAATCTAGAATTAGTTTCCTAATCTGGAATATAAGATTAGATCTCAACATCTGGTTTTTGAGGTCCTTTACAGCTCTAAAGCTATGATTTACCATCTTAAGATGTTCTCAAAAGTTCCAACAGATTTTATATCTTAAGAATAGTACAGAAACAATCATACTATGCCCAAAAGAGCCAGGAATCTTTCTTAGTGAACATTTTCTCATTGCCCTAGAAATCATGGTTGACCTACGGGGGACAGGACTGCCATGGGCAAAATGTCTACAGTAGAGGATCTGTGTCTCTAAATGGGATCTTGTGTAACTGATGCAACTCTGATTGGCTGAGCAGCTAGGTTAAAGCATCACTGGTGTTTCCTGTTACAATGAGTGAATTATAAACATTTAGATTTGAAAAAGACACCACAAATAGAGAGCACTGGTGTGTAATCTATGTTTCAGATCTGAGCACTGATTGATCAAGGCAAAGGAGAGAATGGAGAAACCCCTAATGACTTCATTAATGATCATGTGGCTTCTGCTAAAATGAGTTGAGGTTTCTGGAGTTGGGAAAAGGGAGACTCACCATTCCCCCAAAATATAATATGGGACCTAAAAAAGGGACATTCTCAAAATGCTAAGTGGGAGATGCAAGTCACAATCAGATGTGGTTTCCATGAATGCAATGTGTGGGGCAGAGGGTAAGGGGAGCAATGTTCCTGGGGATAGTGACCTGTTGACCAGTTTCCAGTGTCTGAAATTGTCTTTTTGCACAGGGGTGAGCTGCCAACAGAGGGTGGATCAGAATCCTCCATTTTTGAGTGTCCAGGAAGGAGAGAACGTCACTATCAACTGCAATTATTCAGACCAAAGTTCTCAAGGCGTACAGTGGTTCAGGCAGGATCCTGGGAAAGGCCTCACTTTATTATTTTACCTGGCTTCTGGGGCAAAAGAGGAAGGAAGATTCAGATCCACATTGAGCAGAAACGATCGTCACAGCTCTCTACACATCACTGCTTCCCAGCCTGGAGACTCAGCCACCTACCTGTGTGCTGTGCAGGCACAGTGATCCCCCGGCACCTGCAGCCTGTGCACAAACCCTCTGGCTGCAGCCCCAGTCATACTCCCTGGAAGAGTGCAATAGGGTGACAACCTCAGAGCTTTTTTTTTTCTCCCAGCCTTTCCCCCATAATTCTAGATCCACACTGGGCACCTTTTAATTGCACCTCTACCTTATGATTCCAAGACCAGGGGGTTATCCCTTACTTTCTGACTATGCCCAGGTGCCTATCCCTCCCTACTACAGAGCAGCAAAAGAAAACCAGGGCAGTCTGAGGATGCAGGTGGAAGCCTGGTCAAGCTCACACTCCTTTTTTTTTTTATTGAATTGCTGTTTTCTCATCTTAACTTCTTAATGTGTCTTTACACCCACCTCTTTGTAGAGGGATATCACCTGCAACAAAAAAATCTAATAAGGGTGAAAAAAATATATACACAAAAGTGATCAATTTTGACAGAATAAGTTGTATTCCATATACATTGTACCCTCACCTCCACCTCCAGCCTCGCCCATCCACCTCTGTAAAGAAGAAGAAGGGTGCAGGAGAAGCAATATTTTCTCATCTTATCGAGAGCCAGCTGGATCTCTTTAACTAAACAATGCCTCCTTTCAATTTTTGCTTACAATATACATGGCTGTAATCATTTTTTCCCAAGAATCATCCCACTTCACTCAGCAATATTTCATATAGGATTTACACACTTCTCTGTCGATCAGTCAAAAAGCAATAGTCAGGTACTAATTACCTCTTAGCATTGTTTTGCATATTAAATGATGTAATATTTTGAAGGAGCTTAACATAGAGCCTGGCACATAGTAGGTGCTGAGCAAATGTTTGCTCTCCCTTCTCTACTATTTACTTGAGACTCTACTTACTCGGCTTTACAAATATTATCTCATTTAATCCTAACAAAAACCGCAGGAGGTAGGTTCTATTATGATGTTCACTGCACAGTACAGGAAACAGACAAACAGAGGTGAAGTGACTTGGCCAGGGTCACACAGCAGGTAAATGTCTGAGATCAGACTGGAAAGCAGGTCCTCCTGGCTCCAAACGCAGCACTTTATTCACTGTGCTACTTAGTTACTTCAAGGAAGTGGGTGTCACTAGATCTCAGGATACTTCAATGAGAGTAAGGTATAAGAAAGGCTGGAAAGGTGGGAAGAGACAAGTTGTGAAGGGCTCTGAATGTCCTCCAGAATTCTCTGAATTCCTCATCATCACTGGCATAGAAATATTGAGTGACATTAACACTCCATGATATGTTTAGCCATTCCCCAGAAATCACAAGTCTCAACCCAGCTTCATAGCGGAGCATCAGCACTGAAGAGAAGGTCATAACAGCAGGATTCTCCTGGTAAGACCACATCTCCGGAGTCTTTTCTTAAAACTGGGACAGTTCCTTATTCCATGCTCCCCTTTTTCCTCAGATGGGTCCCTAGGGCTTGACAGACTTCCCCATTTTCACCTCTCCCTCCACCAACACTTCTCTCTTCTATTCGTCTGGCTCAATTATCATATATCAAGTACAGAAGATTTCTAGTTGCCCACCTATCTTTTTATCTCTGAAATGATTAATCCTTCCTTAATTCTAATAAGAATTCTAAAAGGAATGATAGAATAAAGAGGTAGTATGATCTAAGCATCATCACCATCATATGTAGCATTTCTGTAATGTTGTAAGTTTTCAAAGGGTTTTCTACATATTCTCATTTGAACGTCATGACAAATCTAAGAAGCAATTACTATAGCCATTTTATATATGAAGAACATGAGATTGAGAGATGTTAAGTAATTCACATAGTAAGCATCTCAGGTATCTCTTGAACTCAGATCTTCCTGATTCCAAGACTATTCTCAGAGTCAGGAAGACTTGGGTGAAAGTCAAATATCCTCTGACAAATATCACCTATGTGAACATCAGTAGTTCTCTTAACCTTTCAGTTCCCCCAAACAACTCTCTAAGATTAAAAATTATGGAAATGAAGGTTTCCATAGAACTTCTGACACTCAGGAGAAGGAAGATCCTTTTACTAGACCATGAGATATGCATTTAGAACAGCACTTAATATGTACCTAGAATCTCTTTCTTGTAAAAGCAACTACAATGACAACAACAACAATAAACAGCTAACATTTACCCAGCGCTTCCTATGTACACAGCACCATGCTATGCATTTTCCAAGTTTTATCTTATTTCATCCTGTCAACAATTCGAGGAAGGAGGTGACACTATTTTTTCTCTTCTACAGATGAGGAAACTGAGGAAAAGAGAGATTAAGTGACTTGCCAAGGGTCAGAGAGGTACTAAGAGTCTCAGGTGGAAGCTGAACTCAACTCTTCATGACTCTAGGCCCTGCACTCAATCTACTGCACCACTTAGCTAGCATAAGCAATCTCTTCATGACAGATTGCTCACAGGACTTATTTCACATGTAAGTCAAACTGACTTCCTCATGCTAGACTTGAAGCATTCTGAGGACAGAAGAGTGCTTTAGCTCTGCCATATAGGCCTGGCACCCCATTCAGGCTAAATATTCAATGATAAGAAGAGTCACTCCTGACTCTTTTCTGCCTATTGTCCAACACATACAATTACTTGCAATTCCTACTTCATTTAATCAGGTCTTTATCTCTTCTCATCTAAACTATTATAACAGACTTCTAAATACCTGTCCTGTCTACAGTCTATCGTTTATGCAATCTGCCTTCAATGACACTACCCATGGGGCCTTTTTAATGCTCCCCTATGATGATGTCACAACTCTTCTCAAAAACCTTCAGTGGCTCCACATTGCTACTGAGTGAAGCTCAAACTTGATCCTGACAATCAAAGTTGTCCCTAGTCTATTGATCTAACCATATGTCACTTTATCTCCCTTCATGGAGTCATGGTTTAGAAAACCTAGAAGATTCTATGTTCGCCCTCCCATTCTCATCCTGCAGGTTCCCATTTCAATTACTCTGCTTATATCATCCCCCATGCATTCAAAGCCCCCTTCAATTTGCACTCATCTTCAGCTGGTGATGTCACTTCAGAATGTGAAGGCCCTCCTCTTCCATGACAGTTACCGTGACTCTCTTAGCCTCTTAGTATATTTTCTATTCCCTAATTTCTTTTTAACAATTTTTATATCTTTCCTCTGCCTTATCACATTATACCCTGTGCTGTATTCATTTCCATGCATCTCATATTCATCACACCCAATAGACATGTAGCTTGTTGTACATTTCAGTCCAGAAGACTGATCTGCACGTAGTAGGTACTTATGAAAGATTTTGTTGGGAAAAAGAACAGAAATATTATGTTCTCTCTGCCCAAGGAATTCATGATTTCTGAATGGAAATCATTTTCTCATTGTCCTGAAATGTAATATACATGGCCTGAGGGGTGATATTGTCATTGTCTGACATACCTTCAGCAGACTGCTCAGGCTGAGCTGAGTGACTGCTTACAGTGTATTAAATGAAAGACCAGGCTGATTGGCTAAGCAGTAGGCTGATAACCCTCACCCTCTTTAACAGGGTAAAAGAAAACAATTCACATTTAGAATCGACAAAGTCTCCTTTCACTAAACAATCCATTCCCAGAATCCAGAACTAGCTGTCCCCAACCTGGAACTGGAAGATGGAGACATGCCATGGAGCCTCCCTAGTGATCCTCTGTCTTCACCTGACCTGTAAGTTGAGGGGTTTCTGTAGATGGCAACAAGAAAGGCCAGAGGCCATTCCTCAAAGGTTTTAGAGGCAGTCACGGACTGATAAAATGGGCTTCTGCTGTGTTGTGGAAGTGATAGAGATAAAATGATGGAAGATGCTGACCCGATGACGTATGTCTGACATTGTCTTTCTGCCCAGGGGTGAGCTGCCTACAGAAGGTTGAGCAGAACCCTCAGTCCCTGAAGATCCGGGATGGAGGGAGCGCCACAATCAACTGCACCTACACAGACACTACTACTGACAGACTGCAGTGGTTCAGGCAGGATCCTGGGAAAGGCCTCATCTCCCTGGTTTACCTTACTGCAGAGGAGAAGCAGAAAGGAAGGTTAAGATCCACAATCAGCAGGAAGGACCATCAGAGCTCCCTGCATATCACTGGTGCCCAGCCTGAAGACTCAGCCACCTACCTCTGTGCTGTGGAGGCACAGTGATACCCAGGCACCTGCAGGCTGTGCACAAACCCTGGAGATGAGACACAGAACCTTCCAGAAAGCAAATTATGACACCTCAAAAGCAAACCCAGGGCTTATTTTCCTGGTTCTCATCTAAACTCCACCATCTGATTCTGGGAACAGTCACTTATCTAAGGCCTCCTGCCATGGCCTGAGCCTACATCAGTAATATAAGGTTATGGAACAGAACTAGATCAACTTTGGTGGTAGCCAGTGACCTAGTAGAGGTCACACCCCTTAATTACTCAGTCTAACCTATGAAAATAAATCAGGGGTTAGCACTAAGGGGAGTGTTATAGCATGGAATTAGCCTGTTAAATCTAACTTCATGGAAACATTTCTATGTTCTGGATATAGCCCCATGCCCAACTGTCTTTCCAAAGTGAAATTTGCTCCTTATTCCATAGGCTAAAACTGGCCCCAAGTTCTATATCAATCTATGTGTGTCCCAAAATATCTCTAATGTCTGTTCTCTGAACCCCTACTATGTGCTATGACTCTTCCCTCCTCATTCATGATCCTTCAGTTAGAGGACTGGACAGTTAATTGATTTTGTTAGTGATCTTTTGATTTATTAAAACTATTACATAAATAAAATAGCACAGCAACACTTAGACAACAATGGGAAAAGTTTCCAAACAGCAAGCTGCAAGATCTGTGGCAACTTGAATGAACTCCCTTTTCCCTTGAATTCCTTGCTACCTCATAGAAGAATGGAAAGGAATAGATTTGGCAGGTTGCAGGAGTCACTAGAATTTCCTCATCAAGTGCTTTGAGGGAACAGAGGAGGGGGAAGCCCTAGAGTTGCCTCCACTTGGTCTCACTGTGGCTATTTTCAGGGTTTGCTCATCCTGACAGGTTCAAACCCTATCCATTACGGTCTCTATCCACTCCACCAATTCCCATCACCTCAAGGTCCACAATATTGTTGGGATCTGCCAGTGGCCCATAGCACTCCATGGACCTCTGATCCCATCCCTCTAAGAGCTGACCCCACTGAAATCATTGACAAGGAATATCCAAAATGAAGTTTGACCAGTGATATGAGCACAGTCACTCTATCAGGGAGCACAAAATAACATCAATGACAAGAGGCATGGGTGATTTCATACACTTCCTAATGCTACTGAAACCATGTCCACCTACATTTGGCTTATGCCCATGCATTCTGCAGTCACCAAAGAAACAGCTTGTTAATTGATTGATTGATTAATTATTAACTAGTTAGTGGTTGAAGTATATACTTTGGGCACTGTGCTCTGACTACATATACATAAACTATTTGTCAGAGAGATCCCCCTATACTGACTAAAGATCTTTAGATCTAGTCCTTTGTAGATGTAGAGTTATGATCTGAACTTTGTGCAGAAATTAAATTATAGGAAAGGCTCGTCACCCTCTTATAAAAGCTATGTTCTGGATTTGGAGAAATATTTCCCTTTCTGATTCACAAACTATTAGCCTCATTAATAGGATTCAAGTCACTCTCCACCCTCAGTCCTTTTGCTCTATTCAAAGTCATCTTCATAAAACACAGATCTGACCATGTCATCCCTCCCTTACTAAATCAACTCTCTGCCTCCCTATCACCCCAGGATTGAATCTTCTGACCAGCTTTCAAAGACCTTCTTAATGTGTGTCCCCCCTAAATTTTCCAATCTTCATACACCTTACCACCCCACTCCCAACCATCCCCTCTGTATTCCAGTGACACTGGCTGCCTTGCTGCACCTATTACAAAAGACTGCATCTCCTGAATCTAAGAAATTTTCTTGGCATTTCTAACTTCCTCTTGAATGTCCTCCCTGCTCATCCCTGCCTCTTGGCTTGCCTAAATTTCTTTAAGTCTCAGCTGAAATCCCACTTTCGGTGAGAAGCCTTTCTTGCTCTCCCTTAAGTCTACTGATTTCTGTCTGCTGATTATTTCTAATTGACCATGTATATTATATAAGATATATATGCTTCCTATATAGCTGTTTGTATATTGTCTCCACCATTAGACTATGACTCAGCTTGAAAGCAGAAATTTTCTTTACCTTTCTTTGCTTACCCAGCTTTTACTATGGTGCCTGGCACATAGTAGGTGCTTAATAAATATTATTAACTAATAGAAGGAGCCTTGGATTTGGAGTCACAGGGCATGGTATGAAATCCCATCTCTGAGATGTTACTATGGACTTGCAGTGTTGGTCACACAATCAATCCAAGATTTAGTTTCCTCATCTGGAAAAAAAAATTAGAATAGGTTTCAAGATTCTTCTCAGTTCTAAAGCTATGATCTAATCATCCTAAGATGTTCTCAAAAGTTCCAACAGATTTTATATTTTTAGAATAGTATTGAAGGCATTGAACTGAACCCAAAGGAGCCTGGAATCTTTCCTAGTGAACTTTTTTTCATTGCCCTAAGAATTCGACGGTTGACCTAAGTGGGACAGTACTACAATGTACAAAAATGTCTACAGTGGTGGATCTATAGGTCTGTGAGTGGGATCTCGTATAACGTATTAAGATGCATCTCTGATTGGCTGGGCAGCCAGGCTGAAGCAACACTGGTGTGTTTCCTGGTATATGAGAGAACTACAAACATTTAGATTTGAGAAAGATACCTCGAATAGAGAGTACTGGTGTGTAATCCAGGTTTCAGATCTGAGCATATTGATGAGGGCAAAGGAGAGAATGGAGAAGCCCCTAATGGCATCATTAATTATCATATGGCTTCTGCTAAAATGTGAGTTGGGGTTTTTGGAGATGGGAAAAGAGAGACTCACCATTCCCAAAAAAATATTATATGAGACCTTAAAAGGGGGACATTCCTCAGAATGCTGAGTAGGAGATGTAAGACTTCAGTTAAAATCACATAAGATTTCCATGGATGCATTGGGAGGGGTAGAAGGTGGGGAAAACAACATTAAGGGGATGGTGACCTGATGACCAGTTTGCAGTGTCTGAAATTGTCTTTTTGCACAGGGGTGAGCTGCCAACAGAAGGTGGATCAGAATCCTCCATTTCTGAGTGTCCAGGAGGGAGAGAATATCACTATGAACTGCAGTTATCCAGGCATAGGCTCTTCAAGCCTACAGTGGTTCAGGCAGGATCCTGGAAAAGGCCTCACCTTACTTTTTTACCTGGCTTCTGGGACAAAGGAAGGAGGAAGGTTCAAATCTGTGATCAGTAGCAGGGATCGCCACAGCTCTCTGCACATCACCGCCTCCCAGCCTGGAGACTCAGCCACCTACCTGTGTGCTGTGCAGCCACAGTGATCCCCAGGCACCTGCAGCCTGTGCACAAACCCTCTGGCTGCAGCCCCAGTCATAATCCCTGGAAGAGTGCAATGGGGTGACAAACTCAGAGCTTTTTGTTTCTCCCAGCTTTTCTCCCATGATTCTAAATCCATGCTGGGCACCTCTTACTTGCAGTTCTACCTTATGATTCCAAGATGAGGGGGTTATCCCTTACTTTCTGACTGTGCCCAGGTGACTATCCCTACTGCAGAGCAGCAAAAGAAAGCCAGGGCAGTCTGAGGATGCAGGTGGAAGCCTGGTCAAGCTCACACTCCTTTTTTTTATTGCATTGCTATTTTATCATCTTAACCTTTTAATATCTCTTCATACTCACTTCTTTGCAGAGGGACATCCCTGTGGCATAGAAGCTGGGGAAAAAAAAACACTATACACAAAAGTGACCAAGTGTGACAGGCTACGGAACATTCCACAGACATGGTACTCTCACCTCCACCTCTGCCTCCACTCATCCATCTCTGTAAATAAGAGGAAGGGGACAGGAGAAGCAATATTTTCTCATCTTCCCCAGAGCCAACATGATCTTTTCAATCAGGCAATGCTCCCTTTCAATTTTTGTTCCCACCATATGCACCGCAATAATCATTTTTCTCCCTGATTCATCCTACTTCACTCAGCTGTACTTCATGTAAGACTTACCACACTTCTGTGTCAGCCAGGCAACAAGCATTTGTTAAGGGCTTATTACCTCGCAGTATTGTTGTGAGAATTGAATGATGTAATGTTTGTGAAGGGCTTAGCATAGTTCCTGGTACTTAGTAGGTGCTTTATAAATGTTTGTCTTTAGACACATAAGATTCACCAGCTATGTGACTCTGGGCAAGTCACTTAACCTCAATTGCCTCACCAAAAAAAAAACAAAGCATCTTCTCTCTTCCCTACTATGTACTAGGCACTCTGCTAACTTAGCTTTAGAAATATTATCTTATTTAATTCTCAGAAGAACCCTGGGAGTTGGGTGCTGTTACGACACTCACTGTATAATTTGGGAAACTGAGACAGACAGAGGTAAAGCGACTTGCACAGGGTCTCACATATGGTAAGAGTCTGAGGTCAGGTTGGAACTTAGGTCTTCCTGGCACTTTATTCACTGTGCCACCTGGTTGCTTCAAGAAAGCTGGCCTGACTGGATCTCAGCTAAGTAGATGGGAGTAGGGCATAAAAAAGACTGGAAAGGTAAGAAGAGCCACATGATAAAGGACTTCGAATGTCTTTCAGAATTCTCTGAATTCCTCAGCATCATTGCCATTGAAATATTGAGTGACATTAACATGCCATCATATTAGTCATTCCCCAGAGAGTGCAAGTCTCAACCCAGCTTTATAGAAAAGCATCAGCACTGAAGAGAAGGTCATAACAGCAGGATTCTCCTGGTAAGACCATATCTCTGGAATCTTTTCCTAAAATTGGGACAGTTCCTTATTCCATGCTCCAATTTTCCTCAGATGGGTCTCTAGGGTTTGACAGACTTCCCCATCCTCACCTCTTCCTCCACCAACACTTCTCTCTCCTGTTCTTCTGTCTCAATTATTGTATATCAAATACTGCAGATTTCGATTGCCCACCTGTCTCTTCTATCTCTGAAATGATTTTTCTTTCCTTGATTCTAATAAGAATTCCAATAAGAATAATAGAAGAAAGAGGGAGTGTGATCTAAGCATCATCATAATCATACTTGACATTTCTGTAGTGTTTTAAGTTTTCAAGGTGCTTTTTGCATGTTTTCTCATTTGATCTCATCTGATCCTCATACATTTAAACTCAAAGAAAGTATTATTGCAGCTATTTTACATATGGAGAAGCTGAGGCTGAGAGATGTTAAGTAATTCACATAGTAAGCATCTCAGCTCTTGAACTTAGGTCTTCCTGATTCCAAGGCTATTCTCAGAGTCATGAAGGGTTGGGTGAAAGTCTTTCCTCTGACAAATATCACCTGTGTAAGCATCAATAGTTCTCTTAACCTTTCAGATCCCCCAAACAATTCTCTAAGATTAAAAATGATGGATATTTGCCAATTTTTATTAGTACAAGGCTTTGTCCATGTTCCTCCTACCAATGAAATTAAAAGAATTAATAACAACAAATAAACAAAAAATACCTAGAGGAAAACATAAATTTAAAAAGCTAAAATTATCAGAAACTTTTTTGTGCTTCTGAGAATAGAAACACCTACACTTCAGTGAAAATATGATTAGAACTAGACTTTGAACTTTCTTAGCTCCCACTATTCTTAGAAATTCTATTTATTGTGGCCCCAAAGTCATTTCCAATTATTCTCTACCCAATTCCAAACCTATCCTGGGATGAATGCTAACCCAAAGTGCCAGCTTCCTTGCCCAAGAGAGATTTCAGTTGCAAAACCTACTGGTATTCTTAGTCTCCTCCCAGAACCAGCATTCTGATTTTATCTCTGGGTATGAAACAGCCAACTAAGGAAGATATTTCCCCACGATTCTTGATAGTGATAATCACTTTGACCTGCATGGTTCCAGGACTCCAAACTCTTGAATGTTCCAACTAGCCCAGCTGAGAACCAACAACCGTTTCTTTCCAGAAATGATATCAATTACTTTCATAAATTTAATAGACATTTTGATGATGAAGGTTTCTGCAGCACTTCTCCCACTCAGGAGAAGGAGGATCCTTTTACTAGACCATGAGGATAAGCATTTGGAACAGGAACCCAACATGTCCCTAGAAGCCCTTTCTTGAAACAAAAAACAGAGTTAACATTTCTTGAGTGCTTCCTATGTACCCGGCACTGTGCTAAGCATTCTTCAATTTGTATCTTGTTGTGATCTTCACAACAACGCTGGGAGGCAGGTACTATTATTATTCTCATTCTACCAGTAAGGAAATTGAGAAGAGAGATTAAATTACTTAGCAAGGGTCAGATAGCTACTACGTGTCTGAAGTGGTATTTGAACTCAAATCTAGGTCCCATACTCTATCCACTATACCACCTAGCAGGCCAACATAACTTCTTCATGACAGATTGCACACAGTCAAAATGACTTCCTGATGCTGGACCTAAAGCATCCTGAGAATGGAGGGGTATGCTCTAGCTCTGCCATGTAGGTCTAGCACCCCATGCAGGCTAAATATTCAGTGATAGGAAGAGTCACTTCTGATTTTTCTCTGTCCCTTGTCCAACATATACAATTACTTGCAAGCCCTACTTCATTCAATCAAGTCTTTATCTCTTCTTATCTAAACTTCTATTAAATATACTTCTAAATACCTGTCCTGCCTCCTGTCTATCCTTTCTGCAATCTACCTTCAATGTCACTATCTGTGGGGTCTTTTTAATTCTGCCTCATGATGATGTCACAATGCTTCTCAAAAACCTTCAGTGGCTCCCCATTGCCTGCTGAGTAAAGCTTAAGCTCCTGATCCTGATATTCAAGGTCCTTGAACAAATAATTCCTAGCCTATTAATCTATTCTAACCATATGTCGCTTTACCTCCATTCAAGGGTTCATGAGCTAGATAAACTAAACTACTCTGTGCCCTCCCTCCCATTCTAATCCTGCCTGTCACCATTTCAGTTCTTCTGTTCATATCATCCCCCATGCATTCAATAGCCCCCTTTGGTTTCCACACATCTCCAGCTGATCATATCACTTCTGAATTTGAAGACTTATCTCTTCCTTGACACTTGCCATGACCCCCTCATACCGGTTAGTATCTTTTCTATTCCCAAATATGTTTTTAGCAATTTTAATGTCTTTCCTCTGCCTGGTCACATACTATCCTGTACGCTGCTCATTTCTGTGCATCTCATATTCATCACACTCACAATAGACACACAGCTTGTTGTGAATTTCTATCTAGAATAGTGATTTGAACATAGTAGGCACTTATAAAAGATCTGTCTATTCAGGAAAAAGAAGAGAAATATGATGATTCCTCTGTCCAAAGCATTCATGAATTCTGAGTAAAGACCACTTTCTCATTGCCCCAGAAATGTAATATCTATGGCCTGAGGGGGGCAATATTGCCATTGGCTGACGTGTCTTCAGCTGAGTGCTTAGGCTGAGCATCTATGAATGTGATTGCTTACAGTGTGTGAAGCAATAGACCAGGCTGATTGGCTAAGCAGTCAGGTTGATCATCCCTACACTATTTCATAGGGTGAAAGAAAACTAGAAACATTTAGAACTGAGAAAGTCTCCTTTCACTAAACAATCCGTTTCCTAGAACCCAGAACTAGCTGTCCTCTGCCCCTGGACCTGAAAGATGAAGACATGCCATAGAGTCTCACTGGTGATCCTGTGTCTTCATCTGGCCTGTGAGTTGAGGGGTTTTTTTAGATGGGGACAGAAAAAGCCAGAAGCCACTTCTCAAATGATTTAGAGGCAGTCGGGGACTGATCAAATGCAGTTTCCTGGCAGTGTTGTAAAAAGTGATAGATATAAAATAATGAGAGATCCTGACCTGGTGACCAATGACCTGTGTCTGACATTGTCTTTCTGCCCAGGGGTGAACTGCCTACAGAAGGTGGAGCAGAGCCCTCAGTCCCTGAAGATCCAGGTGGGAGGGAGTGCCACCATCAACTGCAGCTACACAGAAACTACTAACCAAGCACTGTGGTGGCTCAGGCAGGATCCTGAGAAAGGCCTCACCTCCCTGTTTTACATGAATTCAGAGGAGGAGCAGAAAGGAAGGTTAAAATCCACAATCAGCAGGAAGGAGCGTCATAGCTCTCTGCACATCACCGATGCCCAGCCTGAAGACTCAGCCACCTACCTCTGTGCTGTGGAGGCACAGTGATCCCCAGGCACCTGCAGGCTATGCACAAACCCTAGTGAGACACAGACCCTTCCAGAGAGCACATTATGACACCCTGAAAGCATATCCACAGTGCATTTTCTTGATTCTTATTTAAACTCCACTATTTGATTCTGGGATAAGTCACTTTTTGAATGTCTTCTGCCCTGGCCTGTTTACCCACTGATAATACAAAGTTTATAGAATAGAATTAGATCAAATTGGGTGGTATCCAGTGACCTGGTAGAGGTCATATATCTTAATTATTCAGTCTAGCCTCACAGAATATGTGGTGAATGTTATAACATGGCATTAGCCTGCTAATGCTAACTTCGTGGAGATATTTTTTTTTGTTCTGGGATATAGCACCATGCCCCACTTATTCCAATGTGAAATTCCTCTCCTAATTCCATGGGCTGCAGCTGGCCCACAAGGTTCTCTGTCAATCTATGTGTCCCAAATTACTAAAACAGAATATATCTCTCATGTCTGTTCTCTGAGGCCCTATCCCATACTTAAAATTCCTCCCTCCTCATTCATGGTCCTTCAGTCAGAGAATTTGACAGTTAATTGATTGTTAATGATATTTTGATTTATTAAAAGAATTAGGTAAGTGAAATAGTACAGCAATACTTAGACAGCAATGTAAAAGACTTTCAAATAGCAAGTTACAGGATTTGTTGCACCTTGAATGGACTCCTCTTTCCCTTCAATTCCTTCCTATCTTGTAGAAGGAGGGAAAAGAATAGATTTGGCAGGTTGTAGGCATCACTAGTCTATCCTTATCAAGTGCCTTGAGAGAATGGAGGGAGGGGGAAGCCCTAGAGTTGCCTCCACTTCCTCTCCCTATGGCTTTTTTTTTTCAAAGCTTATTTGTCTTGGCAGGCTGAAACGTTCTCCATTCTGGTCTTTATCCACTTCCCAATTCCCACCTCCTAGAGGTCCACAACACCACAACATTTCTGGGATCGTCTAGTGGTCAACAATGCTCCATAGATCTCTGCTCCCACTACATTCCAGCCCACTTAGAGCCCTCCCCACCCAAACCATTGAGAAGGAAACTCTTAATGAAGATTGGACAGTGAAACAAACACAGTCACTCTATCAGGGAGCACAAAATAACATCTATGACAAGTAGCATGAGTGCTGGTATACACTTCATAGTGCTGCTGAAGCCATGACCAACCACATCTGGCTCATTCCCATGAATTCTGCAATCATCAAGGAAAGAGCTTGTCAATTAATTGATCAATTAATTATTAACCAATCAATGGTGGAAGTACATATTTTTGGCCATTGGTGGGTGCACTGACTACACATAAATAAACTATTTGGGAGACAGGGTGCACCTATACTGACTAGAGATCTCTAGACCTAGTCCTGCATAAATTTAGAGTTATGATCTGAACTTTGTGTAGAAATTAAATTATAGGAAAGACTCTCATCCTTGTTATAACAGCCATATTCTGAATTTAGAGAAGGGAGCTCTCTGATTCCCAAAACACTTGTTTCATTAAGAGAGTTCAATTTGTTTTTTTTTAAACGAGCATGATTTATTTTAAACAGTACAGTAACTACAAAATGTTAGCACAGCAACAAAAAAAAATTGTCAACTAAATAGAAAAGGCTTTCCAAAAGTAAGTTGAAATGAAAGTGTTTCACCTAATGAAGTCTCTTCTCCAACAGTTGGTGGGTAGAGGTGGAGGAGAAAGAATAAGTTAAGGACCATAGGTCTGATTAGACTTTTTTTAGATCCTACTGAGATGAGTTGAGCAAACAGTCAGAGGAAACAGGAAGCCTGAGGATTTGGTGCCATCTTTCATCGGTTCTCTCTGTCTCTGGGATTTAATGACAACGGCTTATCTGGTCTTGTCCTCTTTAGGGACAATGCCGTAGTACTCCTAAAGTGAATTATTCTCCCAGTGGAAATAACAAAGATTAAAAAAAAAGAAAGAAAAGAAAAATAGGGCAGCTGGGTGGCGCAGTGGATAGAGCACCAGCCCTGGATTCAGGAGAACCTGAGTTCAAATCCAACCTCAGACACATAACATTTACTAGCTGTGTGACCCTGGGCAAGTCACTTCACCCCATTGCCTAGCAGAAAGAAAGAAGGAAGGAAGGAAGGAAGGAAGGAAGGAAGGAAGGAAGGAAGGAAGGAAGGAAGGAAGAAGAGAGGAAATAGCAAAGTTAACCCTTTCTTGCACTTGAGGCTACTTCCTCCTTTACAGCCAATTAAATTCAGCCAGAGTCCAGTGTGCCTAGGGATAGAAACTTTATTCCTGGGTTCCCCAGGTTTCCTTTTCACGCAACAAGCCACAATGACTTCTTCAAGATAGAAAAGCATCTCAAAGTCATGAATTTATTTCCTCTATGTCTCCCACTCACATCTAGGGCCCAGATTGAGTTGTTGTTCAGTCATTTCAGTCGTATCTGGCTTTTCATAACCCTGTTTCAGGGATTTTCTTGGCAAAGATACTGGAGTGCTTTGCCATTTCCTTCTCCAGATTGTTGTTTTTACAGATGAGGAACTTGTTGTGAGACCTCAATACAAATAAAGAAATCAATGGCTCTCAACTTCTGCAATATCTCTCACATATGCCCCCATCATTCCTTCGACACTGTCACAACTCTGGTACAGCCCCTGGACTATTTCAATGGCCTGCTGGAGGTTCAGCCTGCCACAGGTCTCTCCCCACTCCATGTCCTTCTACTCAGCTGTGAAAGTCATCTTCCTAAAACACAGGTCTGACCACGTCATTCCCTTTACTACATCACCACCAGGATTGAATCTGCTCTCTGGCTTTCAAAGAACTTCATAATGTGTTCCCCCCAAAATTTCCCAGTCTTCATACACCTAACCACCCCACTCCCAATTATCTTTGGGTATTTCAGTGACACAGGCCACCTTGCTGCACCTTTTACAGAAGACTCATGAATCTGGGGATTTTTCCTGGCATTTCCACTTCCTCCAGAATGCTCTCCCTCTTCATCCCTGTCTCCTGACTTGCGTAGCTTTCTGTAAGTCCCAGTTAAATCCAACCTTCTTTGAGAAGCCTTTCTTGTTCTCCCTTAATTCTGCTGACTTCAGTCTGCTGATTATTTCAAATTGATTGTATATGCATATACATACACATGCACATTTATTTGATTATATATGGTTGTTTGCATGTGGTCTTCTTCATTAAGCTGTGACTCCCTTCATGAGGAGGGACTTTCTTTTGCCTTTCTTTGCTTCACCAGCTCCTAGTATAGTATCGGGCACACAGTAGTTACTTAATGTTTATTAACCAATAAAAAGAGCATTGGATTTGGAGTCATAGGGTATTGCATGAAATACCATTTCTGAGATGTTACTACTGACTTCCAGTTTGTCATACAATCCAGGATCAGTTTCCTCATCTGAAAAAGATTAGAATAGATGGTTTTTAAGGTCCTTTTCCGCTCTAAAGCTATGATATTAGCATCCTAAGATGTTCTTGAAAGTTCCAACAGATTTTATATTCTAAGAATAGTATTAAAAGCATCATACTGTACCCAAAGGAGCCTTTCTTAGTGAACATTTTCTCATTGCCCAAAAAATTCCGTGGTTGACCTAAGGGGGGCAGCACTACCATGGGCAAAAATTTCAGTCAGGGATTTATGTGTCTTGTGAATGGGATCTTATGTAATATATAATAAATGCCGCCCTGATTGGCTGGGTAGCTAGGCTGAAGTATCACTTGTGTGTTTCCTGGTACAATGAGAGAACTACAAACATTTAGATTTGAGAAAGACAGCTCAATTAGAGAGTATTGGTGTGTAATCCAACTTTCAGATCTGAGCATTTATGGATGAAGGAGAGATAATGGAGAAGCCCCTAAGGACTTCATTAGTGATCATGTGGTTTCTGCTAAAATGTGAGTTGGGGTTTCTGGAGATGGGAAAAGGGAGACTCACCATTCCCCCAAAATAGTATATGGGACCTAAAAAAAAGGACAGTCCCCAAAATGCTAAGTGGGAGAGGCAAGTCATAATCAGATGTGGTTTCCATGAATGCAATGTGTGGGGCAGAGGGTAAGGGGAACAATGCTCCTGGGGATGGTGACCCGATGACCAGTTTCCAGTGTCTGATTTTCTTTTTGCACAGGGGTGAGCTGCCAACAGAGAGTGGATCAGAATCCTCTGTTTTTTACTGCCCGGGAGGGACAGAATATCACTATTCACTGCACTTATTCAGAAGAAGGTTCTCAAAACCTACACTGGTTCAAGCAGGATCCTGGGAAAAGCCTCACTTCACTATTTTACGTAACTACAGAGGAGAAGCAGAATGGAAGGTTAAGATCCACGATCAGCAGGAAGGACCGTCAGAGCTCCCTGCACATCACTGGTGCCCAGGCTGAAGACTCAGCCACCTACCTCTGTGCTGTGGGGCCACAGTGATCCCCAGGCACCTGCAGGCTATACACATACCCTACAGCTGAGACACAGATCTCTATGACACCCTAAAAGCATACCCACTGCTTATTTTCCTGGTTCTAATTTAAATTCCTTCATTTGATTCTGGGATCAGTCACTTACCTAAGGCCTCCTGCCCTGGCCTGTGTACCTATTGGTAATACAATGTTGTGGAACAGAATTATATCAAATTGGGCGGTATCGGGTGACCGAGTAAAGGTCACACCTCTAAATTATTCAGTTTAGCCTCAGAAAATAAATTAAAGGTCAGCACTAAGGATAGGGTTATAACATGGCATCAGCCTGTCAATGTTAACCTCATGTAGATGTTTCTATGTTCTGGGATACAGCCACATGCCCCACTGTCTTTCCAATGTGAAATTTCTTTCCTAATTCCACGGACTGCAGCTGGCCCCCAAGTTCTATATCAATCTATCTGTGTCCCAAATTACTAAAAACAGGAAATGCCTCTAATGTCTTTTCTCTTAGCTCCTACCACATACTTAAAGCTCTTCCCTCCTCATTCATGATCCTTCAGGAAGAGGATTTGACAGTTAATTGATTGTTAATGATCTTTTACTTTATTAAAACAATTAAGTAAGCAAAATAGTACAGCAATACTTAGACAACAATGTAAAAGGCTTTCAAATAGCAAGTTACAGGATTTGTTGCACCTTGAATGGACTCCCCTTTCCCTTGAATTCCTTCCTACCTTGTAGAAGAAGGGAAAGGAATAGATTTGGCAGGTTGTAGGAGTAACTGGAATGTCGTCATCAAGTGCTTTGAGGGAAAAGAGGGAGAGGGAAGCCCTAGAATTGCCTTCACTTGGTGTCACTATGGCTATTTTCAGGATTTGTTCATCCTGATAGGCTCAAACCCTCTCCATTCTGGTCTTCATGCACCCTGCCACTTCCTATCTCCTCAAAATCCACAGCATTTCTGGGATCCTCCAGTGGCCCATAGCACTCCATGGAACTTTGCTCCCACTACATTCCACCCCACTAAGAGCCATCTCCACTCAAACCATTGAGAAGGAAAATCCAAAATGGAGTTTGAACAGTGAAACAAATACAGACACTCTATGAGGGAACACAAAATAACATCTATGACAAGTGGCATGGGTGCTGGTATACACTTCCTGGCGCTACTGAAGCCACATTCACCCACATCTGGCTCACTCCCACGCATTTTGCAATCACCAAAGAAACACCTTGTTAATTAATTGATTAAATAATTAAATATTAACCAGTCAGTGGTTGAGGTATATACTCTGGCCACTGGAGGGTGCTGTGACTACATATAAATAAACTATCTGGGGACAATGTACCCCTATACTGACTACAGATCTCTAGACCTACCTAGTCTTGTGTAAATTTAGAGTTATGATCTGAACTTCATGCTGAAATTAAATTATAGGAAAGGCTCAGTATCCCTATTATAAAAGCCATACTCTGGATTTGGAGAAATATTTTCCCTTTCTGATTCACAAACTATCAGCTTCCTTAATAGGATTCAAGTCACTCCCCATTCCAATTCCCTCCACTATTCAGCTATCAAAGTCATCTTCCTAAAATACAGGCCTGACCATGTCATCTCCCCCTTACTACATCAACTCTCTGGCTCCCGATCACCCCCAGGATTGAATCTGCTGTCCGGCCTTCAAAGACCTTGTTAATTTTCCTAAATTATCCAATCTTCATACACCTTACCACCCCACTCCCAACCATCCCCTCTGTATTCCAGTGACACTGGCTGCCTTGCTGCACCTATTACAAAAGACTGCATCTCCTGAATCTAAGAAATTTTCCTGGCATTTCTAACTTCCTCTTGAATGTCCTCCCTGTTTATCTCTGCCTCTTGGCTTGCCTAGATTTCTTTAAGTCTCAGCTGAAATCCCACTTTCTATGAGAAGCTTTTCTTGCTCTCTCTTAAGTCTACTGATTTCTGTCTGCTGATCATGTCACATATATGCTTCATATAAAGCTGTTAGCATATCATCTCCTCCATTAGACTATGACTCCCCCTAAAAGCAGAGACTTTCTATTACTTTCTTTGCTTCCCTAGATTTTACTATGGTGCCTGGCACATAACAGGTACATAATAAATGTTTATTAACTAATAGAGAAAGCCTTGGATTTGGAGTGACATGACATTTTATGAAAACCCATCTCTGAAATGTTACTATGGACTTCCAGTGTTGGTCACACAACCAATCCAAGATTCAGTTTCCTTATCTGAAAAAGAAGATTAGAATAGATGTTTTTAAGGTCCTTTTCAGCTCTAAAGCTATAACCTTATCATACTAACATGTCCTCAAAAGTTCCAACAGATTTTATATCCTAAGAATAGCATTGAAAGCATCGTACTGAACCTAAAGGAGCCTGGAATCTTTCCTCATGAACTTTTTTTCATTGCCCTAAAAATTAAATGGTTGACTTAAGTGGGACAGGACTGCAATGTACAAAAATGTCTACAGTGGTGGATCTATGTGTCTGTGAATGGGATATTATGTAATGTGTAAAAGATGCAGCTGTGATTGGCTGGGTAGCCAGGCTGAAGCATCACTGGTGTGTTTCCTGGTACAGTGAGAGAACTACAGACATTTAGATTTGAAAAAGATACCTCGAATAGAGAATACTGGTGTGTAATCCATGCTTCAGAACTGAATGCTTATTGATCAAGGCAAAGGAGAAAATGGAGGGGCCCTTAAGGACTTCATTAGTGATTATGTGGCTTCTTCTAAAATGTGAGTTGGGTTTTCTGGAGATGGGAATATGATATGGGACCTTAATATTGGGACCAAAATATTATATGGCACCTTCAAATGGGAACGCTATTCAAAATGCTAAGTGGGAGAGGCAAGACTTCATTACCTGGAGTTTGCATGGATGAATTGGGAAGGACAGAGCTTGAGGAAAACAACATTAAAGGTCTAGTGACCTGATGACCAGTTTCCAGTGTCTGAAATTGTCTTTTTGCACAGGGGTGAGCTGCCAACAGAGGGTGGAACAGAATCCTCCATTTTTGAGTGTCCAGGAAGGAGAGAACATCACTATGAACTGCACTTACTCAGAACAAGGTTCTCAAGGCCTACAGTGGTTCAGGCAGGATCCTGGGAAAGGCCTTACCTTACTATTTTACCTGGCTTCTGGGACAAAGGAAGGAGGAAGGTTCAAATCTGTGATCAGTAGCAAGGATCGCCACAGCTCTCTGCACATCACCGCCTCCCAGCCTGGAGACTCAGCCACCTACCTGTGTGCTGTGCAGGCACAGTGATCCCCCGGCACCTGCAGCCTGTGCACAAACCCTCTGGCTGCAGCCCCAGTCATACTCCCTGGAAGAGTGCAATAGGGTGACAACCTCAGAGCTTTTTATTTTTTCTCCCAGACTTTCTCCCATCATTCTAAATCTACACTGAGCACCTTTCAATTGCAGCTCTACCTTATGATTCCAAGATCAAGAGCTTATCCTTTGCTTTCTGACTGTGTGCCCAGGTGACTATCCCTACTGCAGAGCAATAACAGAAAGCCAGAGCAGTCTGAGGATGCAGGTGGAAGCCTGGTCAAGCTCACATTCTTTTTTTTTTATTGAATCATTTTCTCATATTAATGTCTTACTATCTCTTTATACCCATCTCTTTGCAGAGGGACATCACCTGTGACAAAGAATTTAGTTGGGGGGAAACACTATAAATAAGAGTAATCATGTCTGACAGGATAGGTAATATTCCAAATATATTGTACCCTCACCTCCACCTCCAGCCTCACCCATCCACCTCTGTAAGGAAGAGGAAAGGGGCAGGAGACGCAACATTTTCTCATCTTCTCCAGAGTCGGATGGATCTTTTTAATTAGGCAATGTCTCCTTTCAATTTTGGATCTTACAATATACATGGCTGTAATCATTTTTCATCCTACATCACTCAGCAGTGTTTCATGTAGGACTTACCACACTTCTCTGTCGGTCGGTCAAAAAGCAATAGTTAAGCACTAATCACCTCTCAGCATTGTTTTGGATATTAAATGATGTGATATTTGGAAGGAGGTTAACATAGAGCCTGGCATATAGTAGGTGCTTAACAAATGTTTGCTCTTTCCCTTCCCTACTATGTACTTGAGACTCTGCTAGCTTGGCTTTACAAATGTTATCTCATTTAATCCTAATAAAACCCCTGGGGGGTAGGTGTTATTATGATATTCACTGTACAGTTCAGGAAACCAAGACAGACAGAGGTGAAGTGACTTGGCCAGGGTCACACAGCAGGTAAATGTCTGAGATCAGACTGGAACTCAGGCCTTCCTGCCTCCAAACTCAGCACCTTATTCACTGTGCTACTTACTTAGTTCTTTCAAGGAAGCGAGTGTCACTGCATCTCAGGATACTTAGATGGAAGTACGGTATAAGAAAACCTGGAAAGGTAGGAAGAGCCAGGTTATGAAGGGCTTAGAATATCCTTCAGAATTCTCTGAATTCCTCATCATCATTGACACAGAAATATTAAGTGACATTATTATGCCATCATAGGTTTAGTCATTCCCCAGAGATCACAAGTCTCAACCCAGCTTCATAGAGGACCATCAGCACTGAAGAGAGGATCTCCTCTTATGACCATGTTTCTGGAGTCTTTTCTTAAGATTGAGATAATGCTCCACGTTCCCCTTCTTCCTCAGGTGGGCCCCTAGGGTTTGACCGACTTCCCCATCCTTCCCTCTCCCTGCATTAACACTTCTCTGTCTTGTATTTTTCTGTCAATACAGATTTCCAGTTGCCCACCTATCTTTTCCATCTCTGAAATGATTATTCCTTCCTCAATTCTAATAAGAATTCTAATGAGAATAATAGAAGAAAGAGGGAGTATGATCTAAACATTATTATCACCATAGCTAGAATTTCTGTAGTGTTTTAAGTTTTCAAAGTATTTTTCACATGTTATCTCATTTGATCCTCACAATAATTCTAAGAAGCTATTATTATTGCCAATTTACATATGGTTCAGCTGAGGCTGAGAGATATTAAGTAATACACATAATTAGCATCTCAGATAGCATTTGAACCCATGTCTTCCTGATTCTAAGGCTATTCTCAAAGTCAGGGAGGATTGGGTGAAAGTCTTTCCTCTGACAAATATCACCTATGTAAACATCAGCAGTTCTCTTAACCTTTGAGATCCCCCAAACAATTCTCTAAAATTAAAAATGATGGATGTTTGCCCATCTTCATTAGTATGTCCATATTACTCATATCATTGAAATTAAAGGACTGAATAACAACTAAATAAAAAAAACCTAGAGGAAAACAATGTCATTCAAATAACAAAAGCTAAAGGTATCAAAATTTTTTTTTTACTTCTGAGAATAGAAACCCCTACACTTCACTGGAAACATGAGTAGAACTAGACTTTGAACTTTCTTAGCTTCCACTATTCCTAGAAATTCAATTTGTTGTTGCCCCCAGAGTCATTTCCAACTATTCCCTACCCAATTCCAAACCCATCTGGAATGGATGCTAGACCAAAATGTCAGCTTCCTTGTCCAAGAGAGATTCCAGTTGGCAAAGCTACTGGTTTTCTTACTCTCCTTCCAGAATCAGCGTCCTGGTTTTATCTCTGAGTATGAAACACCCAACTAAGGAAGACATTTTCCTCATGGCCCTTGATATAGCCAATCACCTTGACCTGCAGGAGACCTCCAGGACTCCAAATTCTTGAAAGTTCCAACTAGCCCAGCTGAGAGCCAACAACCAACTGAATTTCTTTTCAGAAATGATTTCAATTTCTTTTATAAATGTAATAGACATTTTGATGATAGTTTCCAGAGCACTTCCCCCACTCAGGAGAAAGAGGATCCTTTTACTAGACCACGAGGATATGCATTTGGAACGGGAACCTAACATGTCCCTAGAATCCCTTTCTTGCAGCAACAACAACAAACAGCCTACATTTATAGGGTGCTTCCTATTTGCTTGACACTGTGCTAAGCATTTTCCAATATTTATCTTATTTGATCCTTCCCAACAACCCTAGGAGGTAAATGATATTATTATCCCCATTCTACAGATGAGGAAATTGAGGAAGAGAAATGATGTGATTTGCCAAGAGTCAGACAGCTAGTAAGTGCCTGAGGTGGAATCTGAACTCAAATCTTCATGACACTAGGCCCTGCACTCATTTTACTGCACCACCTAGCTGCCCAGTAGAACCTCTTTATGACAGATTGCTCTCAGGGCTCATTTCATATTTAAGTCAAACTGATTTCCTCAAGGTAGCCCTGAAGCATTCTGAGGAGAAGGATTCTAATTCTTCCATATAATCTAGCACCCCATGTAAGCTAAATATTCAGCGATAGGAGGAGTCACTTCTGACTCTTCTCTGTTGGAAAAGAACCTTGTCGAACACATACAAGTACTTGCAAGTCCTATTTCATTCAATTGCCTCTTATCTAAACTATTATAATAGCCTTCTAAATATTTGTCCTTTCTCCAGTCTAGCCTTTCTGCAATCTGCCCTCAATGCCACTATCTGTGCAGTCTTCATGATGCCCCACCATAATGATGTCACAACTCTTCTCAGAAACCTTCAGTGGCTCACCATTGCCTGCTGAGTAAAGCTCAAACTCCTGATCCTGGCCTTCAAGGGCTTCCACAACCTATTGATCTGACCTTATGTCACTTTACCTCTGTCCATGGATTCATGGTCTAGATAAATGAGATTACTATATGCCCTCCCTCCCATCCGCATCCTGCAGTTTTCCATGTCAATTGCTCTGCTCATATCATCCCCCATGCATTCAATAGGCCCCCTTCAGTTTCCACACATCTCCACCTTATGATGTCCTTTCTGAATTTGAAGGCTCATCTCTTCCATGACACTTGTCATGACTCTCTCAACCCAGGCAGTATCTTTTCTGTTCCCCCATTTCTTTTTAACAATTTTTATGTTTTTCCTTTGTGCCTGTCATATTCCACCCTGTGCACTGTTCGTTTCTGTGCGTTTCATAATCATCACACTTCTGACAGACACATAGCTTGTTTTGCGCTTCAGTCCAGAACAATGATTTGCACTTAGCACGTACTTACAAAAGATTTGACTGTTCCGGTGGGGGGGGGGGGGCTGGGATATGATGACCTCTCTGCCCAAACCTTTCATGAATTCTGAATAGGGATCATGCTGTCTACTCAAGGCATTGCTTGAGAAATGCATTGCCCTAGAATACTCCAGAAATGTAATATCCGTGGCCTGAGGGAGGCAATATTGCCATTGTCTGACATACTTTCAGCTGAGTGCTCAGGCTGAGCTGAGTGACTGCTTACAGTGTGTGAAATGAAAGAACAAGCTGATTGGCTAAGCACTCAGGCGATAACCCTTACCTTTTTCAACAGGGTAAAAGAAAACAAGACACATTTAGAATTGACAAAGTCTTCTTTGACTAAAGAACCCATTTCCCACAATACAGAACTAGCTGTTCACTGACCCTCATATTGGAAGATGGTGACATGCCATGGAGCCTCACTAGTGATCCTGTATCTTCACCTGGACTGTGAGTTGAGGAGTTTCTTTAGATGGGAACAAGAAAGGCCAGAGGCCGTTCCTTAAAGGATTTAGAGGCAGTGAGGGTCTGATCAAAGGGGGGCTTCCTGACTGTGTTGTGAAAGTGGTAGATATAAAATAATGGGAGATGCTGACCTATGTCTGGCATTGTCTTTGTGCCCAGGGGTGAGCTGCCTAGAGAAGGTGGAGCAGAGCCCTCAGTCCCTGAAGATCCAGGAGGGAGGGAGCGCCACAATCAACTGCAGCTGGACAGACATTACCAACAATGAGCTGCAGTGGTTCAGGCAGGATCCTGGGAAAGGCCTCATCCTCCTATTGTACATAACTTCGGAGGAGAAGCAGAATGGAAGGTTAAGATCCACGATCAGCAGGAAGGAGCGTCATAGTACCCTGCACATCACTGGTGCCCAGGCTGAAGACTCAGCCACCTACCTCTGTGCTGTGGGGCACAGTGATCCCCAGGCACCTGCAGGCTGTGCGCAAACCCCAGAGCTGAGACACAGACCCTTCCAGAGAGCACATTGTGACAACCTAAAAGCATATCCATTGCTTATTTTCTCAGTGCCGAGAAGCATTCTCATTTTAGCTCCCTTTTATAATTCTTGGATCAAACATTTATCTACTGCTTCCTGCCCTGGCCTCTGCAGCTATTGGTAATACAACATTATAGAACATAACCAGGTCAAGCACTGATGTACCTAGTGACCTGTTAGAAATCACACCTCTTAATTACTCGGTCTAGCCTCACAGAATATGTTAGGGGTCAGCACTTAAGGACAATGTCATAACGTGTGATTGGCCTGCTAATGCTAATTTAATGGAGACATTTCTTTGTTCTGGCACAGATATCTGGTACACATTCCCTACTTTCTGTCCCATGTGAACTTTCTCTCCTGATTCCGTAAGTGGCATCTGGCCCCTAGGCTCTATATTGGTCTATATCTGACCTCAAATACATCCCAAATTACTAAAAACAGCAAATGCCTCTCATGTGCGTTCTCTGAGCTCCTCCTTCCCTCCCCATTCATGATCCTTTAATCACAGAATTTAATAATTAATTGATTTTGTTAATGGTCTTTTGATTTATTCAAACAATTAGGTAAATAAAATAGCACAGCGGTGCTTAGACAACTATGTAAAAGGCTATCAAACAGCAACCTGCAGAATCTGATGCAACTTGAATGGACTCCCCATTCCCTCATATCCCTTCCTACTTTGTAGAAGGGTGGAAATAAATAGATTTGAGTTGTAGGAGTGGCTAACATTTCCTCACCAACTGCTTCGAGGGAACAGAGGGAGGGGGAGCCCCTGGCCCCACTAGGTCTCACTGTGGCTATTTTTCAGAACATGCTCATCTTGCCAGGCTCAAAGGCTCTCCACTCTGGTCTTAATCCACACCACCAATTCCTCTGATGTTCAAAGCTCTTCATCAAATGCTCCACTCTGATCAATCTTTCTGCTATGATCTTTACATATTATGGCTCCTTCCCCATATACTATTCAGCCCAATGATACTAGTCTCTTTCCTGTTCCTTGAACAAGATTCTCCATCTCACGTCTCTGGGCACTTTCTCTGGCTATCCCCATTCCTGGAAGTCTCTCACTCCTCATCTCTACCTCCTGGCCTCCCTCTCTGCCTTCATATCCCAGAAAAATCCTGTTTTCTATGAAAAACCTTTCCTGATTGCCCTTAATGCTGATGCCTTAACTCTGTTCATCATCACTACTTCATCCTGCACACTCCTTGATCTTACATATTCGTTTGTGTTTCCCTTCTTACACTGTGAGCTCCTTGAAAACAAGAACTGGTTTTTTGCCTTTGTTTATAACCCCACTGTTTAGCCAAGAGCTTGGCACAGAGTAGACCCTCAATAAATGTTATTGACTGCCTTCTTGTTGTTGTTCATCCTTCATTCTTGAAGAGGACCAATGACATCACAAGGGTGATGTTCTGACTTGTGTGTGAAGTGGATTCAAGTGAGGTGGAGCTGCTCAAGTCATCAGCCTCACTCTCTCCTCTGGAATCATCAACATCCACAGTGGGAAAAGCTGTGATGTAGAAGGGATAACTGTATTAGGAAAGGAAGGTATCATAAAATAACAGTGCTGGCCTTCATGTGTCTTCTGAGGCTTCCCAAATTCCCATACCAAGGGGATTCTCCCATTAAGACCAAGTCTGTGGAGTCTTTTCCTAAAACTGGGACAGCTCTACCCTTCCACTTTTTCCCTAGGTAGTTGCATAAAGTTTAACAGGCTTTCCTATTTCCACTTGCCCCCCCCACTCCCATGATATTCACTGCCATCAACAATTCTCTTGTATTTCTCTGACTCAATTCTCTTCTATCGAGTATTGCAGATTTCCATTTGTCCACTTATCTTTCTACCACTGAAATTAGTCATTCTTCCTTAATTCTAATTAGGGTTTCATTTTGTTTAACAAATAGAGGAAGAAGAGTATGATATAGTGGATAGTAGTAATAATAATATTAACAATAACAATAATGTTCATATAATGCCTTAAGATTTTCAAAGTGCTTTGCTTATGTTATTTCATTTGATGCTCACAATAAATCTGAAACCCTATTGTTATCCTTATTTTACAGCTGGGGAAACTGAGCCAAAAGTAAGTTATTCATACAGTTAGCAAGCATCTGAAGTATTTGAACTCAGGATTTCCAGATAACAAAGCTGTTCTTGAAGGCAGAAAGGCTTGGGTGAAAGTCCTTCCTCTGATGTATGCAATCTATGTGAAAAGCAGCATTTCACCCAAACAATTCCCTAAGATTATGGCATAGAAAATTGCCAATCTGCACTGGTACAGGGCTTTTCCATATCAGATGTTTTCTATACCAATGAAATCAAAGATCTGGACAACAAAACAATATACTAGAGGAAAACAAGGAGTCATTTAAAATACTAAAAGCTAAAGTTATTATGGTTCTTTTTAACTTCCGAAAAAAAGAAATCCCTAGACTTCGGTGAAATCATGATTGAAACTAAGCCTTGAACTTCCTTAGCTTTCTCTATTTTTAGACATCCTATTTGTTCTTGCCCCCAGAGTCACCCTGTCTCCATATCTGTCTGGGAGGGATGTTAGACCAAATGCCAGGTTGCTGCCCAAAGCAGATGCAGGTGGGCAAGGCTCCTAGCTTTCTTAGTTTCCTTCCAGAATCAGCATCCTGATCTTATCTCTGGATATAGAGCTTCCAATTTAGGAAGACATTTCCATTATGGTCTCAGAAATCTCATAGTACCTTGACTTGAATGATTATAGGACTTCAAATTCTTAGAAATTCTACTTTACACAGTTCAGGAACAGAAATGTTCTATTCCAGAAACTATTTCTAGAAACTTTTTGAATATAGTGGACATTACAATGGCAAAGGTTTCCACAACACTTCTCTCACTCAGTAGAAGGAGGAGCCTTTTTCCACAACATGAAAATATCCATTTGAAACAAGAATATAATATGTACCCAGAACTCCTTTCTTACACCAACATAAACGCTTCACCCCTAATTGCCCATAGGACTCATTTCACATTTAAGCAAAGCTGACTTCTTCATGCTAGACCTGAAGCATCATGAGGTCAAGGGAGTGCCCTCTAGCTTTGCCATGTAGGTCTAGCACCCTGTGCATGCTAAGTGTTGAGTCATAAAGTCATTTCTGACTCTTCCCTGTCCCTTGGGCCCTCACATACAATTAATCACTTGCAAGGTCTACTTCACTCAGTTAGATCTTTATCTTTTTTTATCTAATATATTATAATAGCCTTCTAAATATTGTCCTGCTCCCAGTCTATCTCTTCTGCCATATGCTTTCAATACCACTATCTGTGAGAGCTTTATAATGCACCACCATGATGATGTCACAACTCTTCTCAAAAACTTTCAGTGACTCCTCATCGTCTATTGAGTAAAACTTAAACTCCTGATCCTGGCATTCAAGGTCCTCCACAAACAAGCCCTAGTCTATTGGTTTTTACTATAGTCACTTTACTCCCCTTCATGTGTCCATGAGCTAATAAATCAGGCTACTCTATGCCTTTCCATCCATTCTCATCCTGTAGGCTTCCATTTCAAGTCCTTTGCTCATATCGTGCCCGTGTGCATATAAAAACTCCTTTCCATTTTCTGTCCATCTCCATATGATGATGTCCCTCCCTAGCTTCAAGGGTCATATCTTTTATGATACCTGCCCTGACTCTCCTAATCTTTCAATTTGTTCTTTCATTTGCCCCTTTGGCAGCTTGTGGCACAGTGGATATGGTGCTGAGCCTGGAATCAGGAAGAAGTAAGCTCCAGTCTCATCTCAGACACTTGCTAGTTGTATGACTCTAGACAAGTCATTTCATCTCTGTTTGCCTCAGTTTCCACAACTGTAAAATGAGAATAATAATAGCACCTACCTCACACGGTTACCATAAGGATCAAATGAGATATTTGCAAAAAGCACTTAGCAGAGTTCCTGGCACACAGTGGGTGCCATATTTCTTCCCCTATTACATTCCACCTTACATCGTATTCATTTTTTTACACCTCATATTCACCACATTTCCAGTAGACACATGGCTTATTGTGCATTTCGACCTGGAACAATGTTGTGCACATAGTAGGTACTTATAAAAGATTTGTTTACTGCAAGAAAGAAATATGATGATCTCTCTCCTTGTAGTGTTCATGAATTCTGAATAGGCTCATTTTTCTCATCACTCCACAAATATTCTATTCATGGCCTGAGGGGGGCAATGGTACCTTGTCTTACATACCTTCAGCTGAGTGCCCTGACTGAGCATCCATAAAATACCACTGCTTACTGTGTGTGAGAAGGCAGACCAGGCTATGATTGGCTGAGCAGTCAGGTTGAAAATCACTCCCCCTGTTTCATAGAGCAAAAAAGAGTCAAAACATTTAACATTAAAATCAACTTGAGAGACTGCTTTCCAGAACCCAAAACTGGCTGTTCATTGATCTTAGCAGGAGAAGAATGGAAATACTCCATAGAGCCTCACTGCTGGTCCTGTGTCTTCACCTGGCCTGTGAGTTGAGGGGTTTTGGTAGATGGGGACAGGAAAGGTCAGAAGCCATTTCTCAAAGGATTTAGAGGCAGTCAGGGACTGATCAAATGGGGCTTCCTGGCTGTGTTGTGGCAAAGATCTAAAATGATGGTAGATGCTGACCAGATGACCAATGACCTACATCTGACCTTGTCTTTCTGCCCAGGGGTGAGCTGCCTACTGAAGACAGAGCAGAGCCCTCAGTCCCTGAAGATCCAGGAGGGAGAGAATGCCTCAATCAACTGCAGCTGGACAGATGCTACCAACAATGGGCTGGAGTGGCTCAGGCAGGATCCAGGGAAAGGCCTCACCTCCCTATTTTTCGTAAATTCAGAGGAGAAGCAGAATGGAAGGTTAAGATCCACAATCAGCAGGAAGGACCGTCATAGCTCCCTGCACATCACTGATGCCCAGCCGGAAGACTCAGCCACCTACCTCTGTGCTGTGGAGGCACAGTGATCCCTTGGCACCTGCAGGCTGTACACAAACCCTAGAGCTGAGACAAAAGCCACTGTCCCTGGCAGGGAGCACTTGATCATACCCTGAATGCCTCTTTATGTACTCATCTTTCCTGGTTCACATTACAAGCCTTCTTATTCTAGCTCCAACTTGAGATTTTGACATCAATCAAGTATTTAATTAAGCACTTACTCTGTTCCAAGCACTCTTCTACATGAGGGGAAAACAAAGAAAAATAGGCCCTGCCCTCAAGAAGCCTGTATTCTAAAGCATCAGAGGTCTGGCTAATGTTACCTACCTGATTCTCTGTACCCTTCCGTACTCAGAAGCATTAGAACCAAAGCAGGTCAGATTGATCCATGCCCAGAGGTCTGGGAGAGGTCCCAGGTCCTCAATTCAGCCTCATAAGGTGGCACTCATTGTTGATGAGGGTGGTGTACCATTGGGGTTCTCCTCTCATTGCTAAATCTGGGGAGACATTTCCATGTTCTGGGATAGTTCCCTGTGCCCTGCTCCCAGCTTCATGTGGGCTCCCTCAGCTTGGTCTGCTTGGTCCCTTTCATATTCATTGGATACACGGCCCTCCCTACTATCACCTCCACAACCCACACACAGCCTGTTGTCTTAAATCCTAAACCTTGTTTACTGCCTCTAAGGGTTTTATTGTAACTAGAGAAAACCATACAAGTGTTTTTATTAATTATTGCTAGTGGATAATTAATAAAAGGGGACAGTGGCATTCTCGAATTCCAAAGACAGATCATGGCAAATTCTTGATGCTTGCATGCCCTTGGAAGAGTGGGTGTTCCCAATAGGTAGCAGTCAACTCTGATTGGTTAATGATTAATGAAAAGTGGACCTATTCTAATGAGGGGCTGGGGGACCTGACTTTGATCACTTTTACTCCCAGATTACTGTCAGCCTCAGGCAATCTAGACAAAAGATCTACCCACCCACCCAAGCTGCCTGAGTGGAACACACTGGGCTAGAATTCACTTTTAGATTAAATTCTTTGTAAAGTGTTCTGGTTGGGTGGGATCCCTTACCCAGGATCAAAAATCATGTACCCCAGGGATTTGGGCAATATCATCCATCACCAATATCCTTCAGATGAACAACCTACAGGCTTCTGGTTTCTGAATGAGGGAATAAGAAGGGGAAAAATCCTGGTCCTAATTCAATAATTGATTATTAATATGAAAGAGAAATAATCATTTCTCTCATTAGATTCCAGGGAGTCTGTGAATTTGGACAGGAAAAAAATTATATCTTTATTTCCATTAACCTTTGGTTTCCTTTGTAATACACTGTATTTTATCTTATGAATTTAAATACATTATTCTAAGGAGTCTGTAGGCTTCACCAGACTGCCACAGGGGTCCATCCATCAGACACACACACACACACACACACACACACACACACACACACACACTCACGAAGGTCAAGGATCTCTGGTCTAACAGGACTAAAATCAACTCAAGCCCAAGAACAAAAATTCTTGCTCCCAGGCTTCATCTATGTATGAAACCAAGCTGACATCTTCATGCTAAAAAGAAAACATGTTCATTAGATGAATATTACTTCTCTATCTTCCCTAATAAGGTCTAGTTCCCAATGTATGCTATCATACCTCAAAATAAATACTCCATAATAAAAGTACCTGGCAGCCCTGAATTCAAATCAGATAACATTGTATCAAATCTTGGTCCCCTTGCTAGCCATGGGATGTCATGACTAAGTAACTGGGTCATATCAAACACCTGATCTAGGACTCATTCCTCATTTGCAAAATAAGAAGATTGGATAATATGTCCTCCAAGGTTCCTTCAGTTTCTAAATCTTAAGAACAGTGATGAAAGAATCTCACTCTGAATACATTCTCATTGCTCCAGAAATTCAATAGCTTGGGCAGAGTTGGGAGAAAGAGGTGGAGAGGTGGTGAGAGAAGGGAGAAGAAGGTCTACATTTTTTAAATGCCATAAAAACATCCAATTTCAATTTTTAAAAAAGTATTCCTAGAAATTTGCCCCTGGTGGAAAAGAGGACTTCTCCTGACCTTGGACTAATATCTTCCTCTTAGAACTGTAAGGGATCTAATCCATTGTGGCCAGGGACTTTCCAGACCTCCTCTCACTTACGAAGCTAAGATCTTGTGAGTTCCAATCCAGGATCCTTGCCACTATAAAAATACTCATATTACTAAATATTCATCAAGACCCCACATTATGTTTTGGATATGAGAAGAACACATGCCCCTAACTTTAAAGAGATTCCTTTCTACCATGACAAAGTCATTTTGGCTTCATTAAGTGAGAGGAGGTCTGGAAAGTCCCTAGCCACAGTGGACTCTGGGGATCGGCTTATGGACCTGTGGGCAGTATGTAAAGTGATAGAGTCAGTTCTGATTAGCTGACCAGCCATGCTAAGAATCTCTGATATTTGCTGGAGCAGGAGGGGAACTAAAAACATTTAGATATGAGAAACAGCCCTTTTATTAGACAGTACTGATGGGAAACCTCTCTTCAGCTAGGTTGTGAGTTGTAAGAGGGTAAGGAATGGGGTTGGGGGAGTGTAAAGAGGGCTACATTCCCCAGAATGCTAAGGGGGAGAGACAGATGTTGGGTATAGCTCACATGGGATTTTTTTGACAATGTTGTGGAAGTTAAAAAAAGCTTAAAGAAAATGTAGAATTGATGACCAAGCTCCCATGTCTGGCATTGCCTTTCTGCACAGGAATGAGCAGCCAATAGAAGGTGGAACAAGGTCCTCAGTCTCTGAGGGTCCAGAAGGAAGATGCATCACTGTCAACTGTGCTTGACTCAGAAAGCAATTTCCAAGGACTTCAGGCAGGATCCCTGGAAAGGCTTTATCCTCCTCAGATCCCCAAGGAGCTTACTTTTCTACTTGTATGTGCAGTGCTTTGCATGCAGTGGGTGCTTAATAAATGCTTTATTAATTCATTAATTCATCCCCTTGTTTTACATGGTTTTCAGAGGGGACTCAAATCCATGATCTCCTTTTCCTTGCATATTACTGGCTCCTAGTGGGGACATTCAAATCACTACCTTGATGCCATGACAACGCAGTGTTCCCACAGTTCTGCAGCTTCTAGTCAAGTGGTGTGGTTGATATTTCAGGCAAAGTCCCTGCCAGTCAATCAATAGACTTTTATTAAATGCCTACTATGTGCAAGTCATTGTGCTGAGCTCTGGGGGTATAAATTTAAACCTAAGACTGTCCCCGACCTTAAGGCATTTATATCCTTTTATGGGAACACTACATTTCCACAGATAAAGAAATGCAGAGGATAGGCACAATTTGTATAATGTTTTAAAGATTTTCAAAGTGATATATACATATATACATACATATATAGAGAGAGATACATATATATGTATATTCTCATTTGATCCTCATAACAACCTTGTAAAGTAGGTGCTATTGATATAACCGTGATGCAGATGAGTAAATTGAGGCTACACAAGTTTAATGACTTGTGCAGCATCACACAGCTAGTAAACATCTGCAACAGAATTCTAATGTAAGTTGTTTTCCTTACTCAATTTTTAGCACTTCATACACTACACCACCTTGGAGTTTGATGTAGTCCATAGGCAGCTGAGAAGCTAGGTGGCACAGTGAATAGAATGCCAGGTTTGGAGTCAGGAAGACCTGAGTTCAAATATGGCCTCAGACACTTACTAGCTGTGTGACCCTGAGCAAGTCACTTAATCCTGTTTGCCTCAGTTTCCTCATCTGTAAAATGAGCTGGAAAAGGAAACATCAAACCCCTCCAGTATCTTTGCCAAGAAAATCCCAAATGGGGTCACAAAGAATCAGACACAACTGAAACAAGTGAACAACACTAAAAAGCTGGCCTGGAAGCCAGAAAGACTTAAATTCATGTCCTGTCTCTGATACCTACTGTCTGTGTGACCCTAGGTAAGTCACTCTCTGTGCTCTCAGCAGCTCTTTAAGACAACAAGTTGAAGAGAAAGTATTGACCTGCCTCAGTAAAGGAAATTTCTTCACCTGAAGTCCCCTATAATGCTGAAATATTGGGTCCAGTCCCTAGCTCTCCATACAAAATACGTACAAAATTATTTGGAAAGAAGAATACTGATTAATGAGGAAATAAAAGGGAAAATGCCTCTTGTAGGTGGTGGCATTTCAGCTAAGTTTTGAAGGGAGGTAAGAGTTCCAAGAAACAGAGATGAAAGTATTAGCATTTGAGGTATTGAGGATAGACTACACAAAGCCATGAAGGAAAGAGATAGAACTTTGTGCTTGAGGAGTAACACATAGACCAGCTCAGCTGGAGAGGTCTAAGGGGCACCTAATGACATCTCAAGGGCAGTTAGGTGGCACCACAGTGCGTAGAGCACCAGGTCAAGAAGACTCCTCCTCCTGAGTTCAAATCCAACCTCAGACATTTACTACTGTGTGACCCTGGGCAAGTCACTTAACCCTGTTTGCCTCAGCTTCCTCATCCGTAGGATGGAGAAGGAAATGGCAAACCACTCCAAGTATCTTTGCCAAGAAAACCCCAAATGCAGTCATGAAGATTTGGGCACAACTGAAAAATGACTAAATAACAGTAATGACATCTCAAGAGCATTTCCCCAGACTCATATTTGTGGGTGCACATTCTCAATCTAGTTTCAGGTTAGGACTGTGACACTAGATTTTTGGTTCTTTTTGGTACTTTTATCTCTCCCTGAGACACCAAAACCTACTAAAATTATAGCACAAAATCAGAGAACCCTGATGGTGCCCCTTAACAACTTTATTCAGACTCAGAAGATCTCCTGCTTTCATCCTAAATTCCTGCTATCCAATCACCTCACAGAAAAGTTTCTAGCTTTGTCCTTCGCTTGAAACAACCCTTCCCTTAGTTCTTCTAGGGCTACATTTAAGTAACTGTAAATAAATATAAAGGGCTTTAAAATGCCCAGCAAAAGGAAAAAATATTAAAGTGATTCAAGAAATCTCAAAAA